CTGTTGGGCGGGCGCGCTCTCTCTCTCTCTCTCTCTCTCTCTCTCTCTCTCTCTCTCTCTCTCTCTCTCTCTCTCTCTGGTTTTGCCTGTCCTGATGCCCTGTTTTTGGACCATATGTCAGCTAACTTCTCACTTATTTCAAATCAGATGGCTCAACCACCTTTGCAGAACCCAGTCTTTTCTTGCTAAGACCATTTCTTTGTTAGTGCATCAATCTCAGAAATTTTCTCTGATTGTTCAGTTGCAGAAGAGCCAAATCAATGTGGGCTACATGCTGTATAGATGAAAAAATAGTGTCCATATTCCTAGGAACACCCTACCCCCTCATTCTGTTTAATGAGCCCTTTGGAAAAAAAAGCCTCTTTCTCTATAGCATCCTTAAATCAAATTATAATCCTGCCTGAAACACTTCTGCATATAAATTTCAAACTAATCCTGACCCTAACCCTAAATCCATAACATGTGGGTATTTTATATCACCTGTTTCCATCAAATTTGCTGCCAACCATACTTACCATTATTTTTGTCACGAAAACCAACTTCTTTATTCTCCTCTAACAAAAACACTCCCATCTTCTCCTGGCCAAGAAAGGTTGAGTCTACACCAGTAAGTAAGTGGACACTCTTAACAGAAGTCTTCTCTACTGCCAGTCTTTCATAAAACAAGCAAAAATTATATGCTAAACTAAATCTAAGTTTGAGAGAGAGGGGTATGAGGAAAGGAGAAAATGTAGAGGTAAGTAGAATTATATGGCTATGGAACCATGAAATACCAAACCTCTTACTGTTAGTTTAGAAACCAGAAACAATATGGAACTCTTGCTAACTAATTTTTTGTTGACTCACTACAGAATTTCCCTATAGGGTTTCATTTAGATAGACTTCTAATATTATTTTTTTTTCATAGCCATGACTGAAAAATAGCAGAACAAAGCAACTGCCAGAAAATCTTAATTAATCTGTTCTTTCTTCTGTTGTGAAAGGCATAATTTATAAATGGTGACCTTTTGCTAGGGTAACACTAGGTTGATGAACTTCAAGCGAAGTGAAAGAAAGAGTGTTTAGTATTAACAGTGCTTACATTTTCTGAGCGATCATGTGGACTTGTGGAGCCTTTAAAGGTCACAGACTTCTTTACTTTGAGAGATATTAAATAGCTTATGAAAATAGAGGTCAGCTGCACAGTGACTGGGAGAAAAGAGCATCCCCCAATAGAGAAGTAAGATGTTTGAGATTACAGTGACTGTCCTTTTACAAGTTTATATGGACTCTCATGGAGCAAAGACTGAAATTTGCATATAAATGCTATCATTGTAAGTAAATAGATGTCCTGCCCATAGAATCAACAGCTATTGATCTTACTGGATAAATGCTAATATTGTCTGCATATGCTACACATTGCAATAAAACCTAATGACTCACCACCTAAATTACTCTTCAATAATTTTTGTTTCTGCAGAAATTATCATATAGTCCAGACTGGTCAAAAACAATCTTACCATATGGGAACACAAAAGAAATCATTATTTGTTTAAAAAAAAAAAAACTCACTTTTTAAAAATCTATTTTTGCTTTGAAGGTCACTAAATAAATAAGTATCCTGAACCCCAAGATTAGATTAACACATAGACAAGATATTCAGCCCCTGGGAAAAATAGGTTAGTGGCGTCTAGTACTTATTGACACAGTGTATGAAGCAGCAGCAGCAAGAGTGACTGGAAGAAGTCCTGGCCGTGAGATTTCCCTTTACCTTCTTGCATAGTTAAAGGTTTCCTCAACACCAGCAGCATTTATTTATTTCACACTGCCACTGTTGAAAGTGGTCCCTGTGGGAACAGGGTACACACTGACACAGCTCCAACAGATGTTAAATGGATGGTAATAGCTTATGACTTTTTCTTTGCAGACAGAGAAGGGCAATGTGAATCTTCAAGAGTGGATCTTCATTAACTTGGAGGGACATTATTGAGTAAAGACTGGGACAAAGGACATGTCTTACCTATTGTATAGATTCTTAGTAATCTTGCCTACACTTGACCATCTCCAGTGATCGGGAATTTGCAAATACTGATAGTCATCAGGAACAGTGGGGAAGAGGACAGCTTCCCCAGCAAGAGCTAGATGTAGGTTGTGCTTTTCCGTTCTAGGCTCTGTTGTATCCTTTGGTGACTGTACCTTCAGGGAAGCCTGCAGCAGCACAGCTATCTGTCATCTAGCAGGAGCTCCAAAATAAGGATGTCCATAGGTATCACAGGTTCACGTATCCCATATGCCCAAGCAAATACACCAAGATCATGTCTATGAAAATTCAGTGGCAACTTTTCAAATTTAGCCCATGAAGATAATAATCAAAGAGCAAAAGCACAGAGTTCAGATGTCCAATGCAAGCGTCTCACGAGTGATTCAGGACCTGAACTGGGACATATTTTATAGTTGTGGAAATTTAATTGCTCATCTTTTGAAGGCACATTAACTCTTTCAGGGGCCGTTGAGTAAATTAGCTCCTCTGCTTCATTAAACCTGTCTCCACATGAAGTGCCGATTTCCACCTGGCATTGTGTCATTTACCCCAAGATGCCCCCCGCTTGTGCTGAGCACGCACAGACTCTTTATCTACTCAGGGGTAGAGAATGTGCTCATGTGAATGTCAGCAATTGTTCTTCGACTGCAACTCAGTGATTTCCTTCCCCTCTTTTGAGGCACCAGGGATATCTTATGGGCTTGCTAGTGCATAGCAGCTACCAGTGCTTCACCACGGAGTGGGTAGTACAGTTAGCTGTCCCCGAGTGGCATAATTTCCAGAGTGTAGGGCATGGCATTGTGCTACCAATTATATCTTCATATTTGCAAAAGCCAACACTCTTAACTCATTTAGGGTGGGAGTCATAAAACTATTTCAGGATTCTCTAGTTCTTTACTAAAGCACAACTTTCACTGAAGTTTGAGTTATCCAGATCTATTTTAATGGAATGAATTAATGACTATTTGATAGCCATCTTTGTTGTCCCTAAGAAAAAGAAAAAAAAAAAAAAAGTGTGCCACTGCTTTGGTTGCTGCACAGGACGGGAAACATTCCTGGCCCTTAGCACACACGTGTGGGAGGGTCCCCTCAAAGGAATAATGTGTTTCCCTCTCCTAAATGCCGAGGACAGAGGCAAACTTCCCCCTTTTCCCAGTAGTGTGCTGAGCTACCTGGGAGAGTCATGCCTTGGGATGAATTGAAACAGCGAAGGATCCAGAGACTCCAGGCTGTCAGAGGTGCTAGGAACAGGGCTGGCTTGGGGTGCCATGTGTCAGCTGGGAGCTTGTTAGAAGGACAGTTCTGACTCAGAAACTCGGAGTCAGGGCCAGGGGTCCTGCACGTCTAACCAGCTGACACAGCCGGCCCACGCAGCACATTGCGACTGAGACAAAATAGGCCGCAGCACGTGTGAACCATCACACAGCCTTGCAGGAAAGGCTGATGAACGCAAAGGAAATCTGACACTATGGTTTCAAAGTAGAACTTCAGGCAAGGAAGACTAAGATAAAATATTTAAAATATCACCAAGATATTAGGCGCTCACTTTTAAAAAGGATATGCTTGAGCCGGGCATGCCTGTCATCTCAGTGTTCTAGGGGGCTGAGGCAAGAGAATCACAGGTTGGAGTCAAGACTGAGCAATTTAGTGAGACCCTATCTCAAAGATTACAAACAGTACGAGCAAGATAGCTCAGTGTGATGGCCTTGGGTTCGAGTCCCAGTACTGGGGCAGAGGAGGAGACATACTTGACATTTCTACCCATCTGAAGAGCTTGGTGGTCATCTTCTGTTGCTGACGTGCCATTTAAACTTCGAGCTCAAATTTGAATTAGCAGTAATTCTGATGGTGTTTTGTTAATCGACTCCAGGTAGTTCATAAAGATACAAAAGTAATTGTTTTTCTAATCTCTTTCCCTTCCTCATGTTGGCAAAGAGTTCAATAAATGTCAGGGTTAAATATTCCTTCACCGAAGTCTTATCTGAGCCGGTTGAAATATTCCCTCTGCAGCTCTGTATAATCTGTCACCACGGCCTCCCCGTGCTTCCCTCTGAGACCAGCAATGTCCTCCTCCTTCCGCAGGTGAACGGGAAGGATCTCTCCAAGGCCACCCATGAGGAGGCAGTGGAGGCTTTTCGGAACGCCAAGGAGCCCATCGTGGTGCAGGTGTTGAGGCGGACGCCGCTCCGCAGGGCCTCCTATGGGACGGTACCGGACGTGCAGCTCAGGAACGCCAGCACGCAGACGGACATCACCTTCGAGCACATCATGGCCCTGGCCAAGCTCCGGCCGCCCACGCCGCCCGTGCCGGACATCTGTCCACTTCTGCTCTCAGACAGGTATTTCTCTGTCATTTGCCCCGACACCCTCTTTGTCATCGTTCTCCCTTTAGAGTAGGTGTTGGAAAGAACGAGTCTCCCTAGCACGTGAGCAATTAGGGACAAGGGCTCTCGCGCTGCTTGCAGAACCTCTCCAAGGAGATTTGGCCCAATTAGCCCTCTGGCCTCACTGCCCGCACGCTCCTGGGCCCACGAGGCTGCTTCACCACCAGAATCACACCTGCTGAGAAGCAGCAGAAAACTGGCTCTGATTAGCTTGTCCTCCTGTCCCAGACCTTGTTGGCCCTGGGCTGCTTATGAGAGCTGGTCAGGGAGATCGATTTTGGCACCAAGGCTGCCAAGCCCTTATTAAAACTCAGGTAGATGTGACAAGTTGGCACCGTGTTCTCCTCTGTGGGTCACCTTTCTCTCTCTCCCTTGCTTTTCCCTTCTTTAAAAGAGAAACTAGGAAATTAATTCAATAAAGGTACAATTCTCCAAAGAAACCAATTACCCAATATATTGAGATATAAACAAATGGCCCGGGCTGTCAGAGAGTAAATTGAATGCTATAAAATAAGGAACAATTAAAGCAATATTTGCTGCTGTTTTTACCTAGTGTGAAAGCAGTTCTATTTTACTTCAAGTAATCTTGTTTGCACAGTTTGGGAAGTATATTTTGCCTGGTTTGTTTTGTTCTATGAGATTTTTAAGTAAACAGTCAAACACTACTGAGAATTTGGTTTCTAAGAGCAGCAGTATCTTTTGATCTCATTTTCATTGTCTTCTCAAAGCCATTCTGCATAAAACAGAAATGATCATGCCACTTCCTTGCCTTTTGGGGGCCTCTGTAATTCCGTTTATCGGGTCGCAGGTGTGCAAGAGCATCACATGGAACCCTGAAAAGCCCTGGCAGTTCCTGCATCCTGCCTTGGGCCAGTTAATAGGAATGTTGGCCAAGGGGTCAAGGCGACAGAGTTTTCGGCAACCTCCTTAGGCAATTCTAAAGTGTAGCCAGGTTTGAAAACCAGCTTCTGAGACTTCAACTTCCAGGAAGGTAGAGGCACTGGTTGCATACCTGTTAGCTGGATTATTTGTTCCTTACACACGGAAGAGCCTTTTGTGTTGACAGGAGAGCTAGGTGCTGGGCGTAAGACTGCGAGTGAGAATAAAGCCTCTGCCTCCTGGAGTTCGTGGGAAGGGAGCTAAGCAACAGCACACAAACCAATGCATAGTCTTCATTAGTACACTTCACTTAGCACCCACCCAGTGAATACTTGCCTAAATGATCCTGTGTTGGTACCTTAGCGCGGTTCAGGTAATATTCCATGTGTTTTACATTAATTGCCTCATTTACTCCTCACAACTCCCTGGAGAGGAAGCACGCTGTGTTCCTACCATCCTCGTGTCACAGGTGAGGAGACACGTGCTAAGTAACTTGGCCAGAATCCCATAGCAAGAAAGTGATGGGGGTGGCCTTGAAGCCGAGAGGCGCGACCCACCGCTGGGCTGCTTTCTTATGAGTCCCAAAGCTCCAGAAAATGACCTGCGGCTGTAGTTGGCCAGGCCCACCCTTTGCACTCCCAGCTTCCTGATTTCCCTTTGAATTACTGCACCATCCTAACATTGCCACTGTCGTTCTTTCCCCAGTGAATAAGGGGCAAGAACATCCACATATTTCCAGTATGTGGCGTACAGACTGGCATCTGTGTGGCTCTCAGTCAGTGTTTTTCAAGTGGGTATGGAGTTCCTTAGAGCATAGCTCCCTTCTTGCTGACCAACGACAAGTGAAACATGTCAACTGCCCCTAAAGAGTGAGCACTGGTGTGCCCCTGGCCTGGCTCTTTTTGCAGAGTCAAACTCGATCCCAGAAGGAGGGTGGACCTGGTAGACCAGCTAGCCTGATGCTGCCTCTCCTGCTTTTGACATTTTGGCTCACATTGCTTAACCTTACCTAAAACCAACAGCCACAGACTGTAGTCAGCCATTCTGTCTGTCCATCTATCTGTCTGTGTCTCTGTCTCTGTCTCTGTCTCTGTCTCTGTTTGTCTGTCTGTGTCTATCTGTCTCTGTCTATTTGTCTTTCTGTCTCTGTCTCTCTCCATCTCTGTCTCTCTCTGTGTCTGTCTCTCTGTCTCTCTCTGTCTCTCTCTCTGTGTCTGTCTGTCTGTCTGTCTGTCTCTCTCCCTCTCTCTCTCTCTCTCTCTCTCCAGTAAGAGAACGAGAAACTCCAGTTTTTAATAACCTCCACAGTGATATGGCTTATGGACATGCCTGCCACCAACTTCTTTATTTGTACTTAGGATTTTTCACTAACTTTTATAGATATGGGATTATGTCTTTTACTGTTGTTAAACTATGCTTACCTTTCCTATATTATATGTACTGATCCAAAGATCACTTAAGTTATTTTACATATTTCCTAAAAGTTAAAGTATGGCTGAAATCCATACCCAGTTTCCCCTCCCTTGCTTTGCTTAGTGTATTCTATCACTGGGAATTTCCTGGAATTTTTGCAGCCTGTAGGAGTTTCCAGTGCTGGTTCTACTGCATCTACATATCCTGAATTAAACAAGTTCCCCCCCCCCTTCGGTACCAGGGATCAAACTCAAGACCTTGTGCTTGATAGGCAGGTATTTATGCTGCTGAGCTATCTCCCTGACCCTTCATATCCTGAATTAAAGAGGGGAAGTAAGAATTGTGAGCAAAATGGGTAAAGGGATTTTTCTTTTCATTTATGTATTTGGTACAGGGTCTTACTACCCAGCTCTGACTAGTAATGATCCTCCTGTTTTTAGCCTCGCCAGTGATGGGATTACAGGCTTGCACCACCTTGCCTGGTCTCAGTAGCTGTTTCAGTAGGCCCCAAGGGCAGGTGGCAAGGCATGAGAGACCCTGGTTCCTGCGCTTGCCAGAGTAGGCACTTAGTCCACTGAGCTATCTCGCTGGCCTGAAGGGATCTTAAGGAATGAAGCAGGGGATAATGTGCATATACTTCACAGTTTGAAAAGTATGGGTCTCAGGAACTGATGTTTCAAAACTGATTGGGTGGTGAGTTTTGGAACTGGTTGTACTTTGCTCCAAAACAGGTCCCTCTGGAAGACTGCAGTGTCAAATGCCACCTATTCCAGGGAATAGAAGAGGCCAGAGGGTACCAATGGACTCAGACTATCAAAGACTTTACATCAGTCCTTCCCAGAATGCAACTCGGACCATGGCCCTTCCTCTCAGTATTTTCCCAGAAAGAGCAAATTGGTGGACTTCATGGAGAAGAGAGAGAAGCAATTTGTTCTTTCTTAACTCTTTTGTCTATTTAAGGCCTAGAGACTTTAGATCACTTCTTCCAGAGCAGAGAAAACTAGAGGGAAATTATAAAATCAGTTTTAATCTTGGAAAACAATGCTTTAGAGCCATTCCTATCATGTTGCTTTCTGGTTCCCTACAGTTGCCATTCTCTTCATCCGGGGGAGCACGAACTTTATGAAGACAATGAGTACCTTTCCAGCCTGCCTGCAGATGCAGACAGAACAGAGGACTTCGAATATGAGGTAAGATGCCTTCCCCAGAGCCTCCTGGCTTGGGGAGTTTTGCATAACAAAGGAGCCAATTTGTTACTGAAAGAAATACCTTGTCTCTTGTCTGTCTGGAAAGGACCTTTTGTATAGTATTTGTTTTAGCTATTTGTCTCCACTATTTTAAGTGAACTGGAAAATATTTTTATAAGCTTGAGAATAATTTGTTCACATTTTTGCTGCTTTGGATAGATTATTTTTCAGGGGCCATATTTTTCTTGTTTTTAATATATGCCAGTTTGTAGGCTGAGTTTGGACAGGAACTTATTTTTAAAAGTAAGATTATGTTTGTTATTTTTCATTCATTGCACAGTACTGTGATTTTAATTGATAAAGTGCATTTTATCACATTGAGTTATATTGGTCAGATTCCGTATGTGACTTGGGAAGGTAACCTCATGTGCAGTTTCATGGAGATGTTAGACATCGAGATGACCTCCTTCCCTTCATTGTAAAACTGTTTAGCTATGACAGGATATAATTCTAGAGTTCACAGGGGACCGTGCAACATTTCAAAGAGCCCATCTAATTATTCAAAAGCTCTCACAAAAGTTAAAGGATTTATCCTAATATCTCCCCACCTTGCACAGTCTACAGATCTTTGAAAGGTTTCATCCTACTCTGACATTTGGAAATAAAATAGATGGAGGAAGCAGGAGGCGTCGGTAAACAGCCAGCCAGCCCGTGATTACCTGCCCTTTTAATGCCTCCGATGGCGACTTACAAGTTCAGCAAAGCGTTCTTTTCTACTTACAACCGGGAAATCCTGCAACGGCTTCCCTTAGGAGGATCTGAAATCAAATAAGGCCAATTCAATGAAGCACACCGAAAGCAAATAGACATTTATTTAAAATCTTCCCCCAGCAAAAGTCATTGCTGGCGGTTATAGAAATCACTATTTCTGGTCACCAGAATGTGAAAGGAGCTTGTAGGGATGCCTCGTATCTGAGTAGATGGTTTTATCATTATTATCATTTGGGTTCGTGTTTTAACTCCCTTTCCTCATTAAGTTGATTGAAAAGTTCTAAATCTACTCAAGTACTGGCATGTGCTGGAATATCCATTCAATTTTATCTCTTCATGCAACATCAATTAAGTCACTTATCCAGATTATTCAGGAGTAAACTGTTTTTAGTTTCAGTTAATGAACAGTTTGGATCTGGGGAACAGAATTATCGAGCTCACTCTAGCTTTTCCTTTAGTTCGTGCCCTAATGCTTTATTTGAATAAGTCCACGTTCCTAGGGAAGGGACTTGTTAAGGCTCAGCAGGTTAACAGGAAAAATCCTTTCAATACCCAGCAGAGCAACAAAATATTATAATACATGCAGATCACCTTATAATTCTGTACAGTTTACTGTAATTGCACCAATCCTGTTTTGACCAATGTCAATCCTTAGTAGATGCCAAAATTCAGATGATGGAGGTGTAAATGCAGAGACAAGCTCTCTGAGGCTATAATCTCAGCTAATCATAGCATCACAGTCATTAATTTGCTGTCAGCTGTGAGTTTTGTTGCCAAAGGCACCTTTCTGAGTGATTGAAATAAAGAACATTCCTATAGAAATGTACATAAGGAAGGACTCACTCTGACAGTTCTGCATCCTAAAACAATGCCTATCAGAGCATCAGAGTGGTTAAAGGTAGGGTGTGCAGATGTGAGGGAAAGCTCTGAGCGTGATCTACCAAATTGAAGGGCCAGTAAAGAGCCAACCCATGCATGATCCGTTTGTTGTAGTTTCCTCACATGCAGGCAGTTACAAAATCTGGTTGGTTCCTTTGCCATCACCAGACGGCTGGAGACGCCGCTGTAAGTGGGTTGATCTACAAACACTAATTGTGTCTTTTTATTGCACAAAATTTGCATTGTGTGGAGAAGAAGCAGGCTGATGGAGAGTTTCTGGACTAGCTAAGATGGGCTGCCATGGTGGAAACTTTATTATAACCCTCTAGTCCTAGGGTGGCAGAGATGAGTACCTGGACAGCTTTCTGTCCCTTACAGCACATTACCTAAAACCAAGACTTAGTAGCCAGAGACAGCGTCTGCTTAGGAAGAGATTCTTCTTCTGCCTCTAGCCAAGCATAAACACACACACCAAGTGAGTAGTCAAGGTGGAGAGATGACTCTTCTCATCAGCTTTCATTCATTACACCACTAAAGTACTGAGTGGCTTGATAAACTTTTGCCCCAAGGAGTGCAACTTCTGGGGGAAAGAAATACACGATGAACAATTAAAGTTCTACTGGAGTCAATGGTGGTAAGTGCAAAAAGAGGCCAGCAAGAGTGAGCAGTGGAGAAGCGAGATTGATGGTGTGGGACACGCTGGGGCAGGTCTTACAAATGGCGGTCAAAGGTGTCTTCTCTCAGGGGAAAGGTGAGGCAAGTGAGAGGTGGACTCATGCAGAAGAGTCCTTCCAGGGAGAAAAGAGAGCAGCAGAGAGGAGCCGAAGAGCAGCAGGACGCACAAGCAGTGAGGAGGAGAGGACAGCGTGCCCCAGCAGCAGGCCTGGCCAGGGTGGGAAGGGCCTGCGCAGAAGGGCCTCAGCATGGAGAGCTGCCAGCGCAGAGAAGGGCCGCATCCTGACGTCCTTCAGGTTCACCCTGCTTCTGGGACAAGCTGGACAACAGGGCAGCAAGGGCTGTCACAGGGAGCCAAGGTCCAAGGAGGAGGAAGAGGCTCCAACCTGGGCAGTGGCCAGGGATGGGCTAAGACAGGCTGGAAGGACAGCATCCAGCCCCAGCCCAGGGACTCCTCCTGAACCGTTTCCATTTCTCACCTCATGGCTGGAAGACAGCTCACACTATGGTGATTGTTCTGACTTTTCGGAAGCAAAATATCACAGAGCAGAGTGAAACATAACTCCTAGCACTCCCTGCAACTGTCATTGCAATGCACTCGTTAGAAGATAACTCAGTGTCTACCAACTGCATTTCTGGACTTGCTAAAATGTGAATCCTGCAACCACATAGGCACCTTTTTAAAGACCTGCTTATGCCTGACTCAGTGATCCACAGCTGATCCGCTTATCTTGTGAATACATATTTACGGACAGTTAGGGTGTGGATTACTGACCTGATAGACCAAAACAAATCTGACTGTCTTGTGAATATGTATTTAGAGATATTTCGATATGCAGATTATTATATCAATAGGGTAACTACTCCCTTAGAGCCGTGATGGACAGCAAAGTTCTGTTGAGAAATATTAGCATCCATGTGTCAACGTAATGGTGACACTGGTGTGTTACGGACCTCTATGAAATTTTAATGACACCCATATCTCACCATGACCTATTGCCACTTTTCCTAAGAAAAATATTTGACTGGGCTTACAATTTCCCCAAAGTGCTACAAAAAATCTCAGAGGACCAGTCTGCATTAAAAGACTCACAGCTGGAAATTTATTCTCTTTAAAAAATGACAGAACTTGTTCTCTAATTAAAAATGATGAATGGATTTAATTTTATTTTTCAAAGAAAAAATTGAAAGTATCAAACTTTAAACAATGCACCCATCCTAAGAGTCAGGGTGCTCGCCGCCATTGGATAGCAGCAAACATTAAGCTTTTCTTCTTTATTTTCAACTTTGTTCATTTTTTTTTTCCTAGAGCCAGCTAAAGGTTGAAATAAATCATAAATAGCCCTTAGCAAGTCAGAAGCAGAGCTCAAATTCAAGCTGCACCAGAAATAATTTAAAGAGAAAGGCTTTGAGAAATATAGAGCTCTTTCACCTACCTCTAATAAAGACGTGTCTGCCACTGCCTGAGTGCAAGGAGAAGGCAGAATCTCTTTGCAGCATTCGTCATGGGCTCAAACTCTCAGAAGTCAGTGCTGATGGAAGTGGTAGAAGCCAGGGACTGCAAAATTTTAGTAGTATGAACACCACGTTAGTCAAGACCAGGATATAATTTAAGCAGCATTCTGAACTTTCAAGCTTTCATCAGATACGCTTCTTGGAATCATTTGTACGTCCCCCTTTTCAGTCTGAAGTCCTATATGAAAGTGTCTCAAGTACGTACCTTTCATGTATGTATTATCATAAAAGTAAAACCAAAGGAGTTTTGCGTTTTGTTGGCACTGGTGCTCAAGGTGGCAAGGACGGACAAGTGTATGCCAGAATCCATACACACGGTAACCGAAAGCCAAGCGCTGGGGCCAGTGATAGTAACTAAGAATGCGCATTTGGCAGAATATCAATGAGCCTCCTCTTGGCAGGGCTTATGCAGAGTATAAACCAACCCTTGTGCTGTTGCTATTTTGCAAAATATATTTCCTGAAGCTGACTCTCTACGAATATACCCAGGACATTAGTGAGAATTAAAGTATATAATTCCTAGGGCCAGCCAGATAGCTCAGTGGACTAAAGCACCTGCTTAGGCAGAGCACAGCATCTGGGGTTCGATCCCTGGTGTGCCATGCCGGCCCTACCTGTGGGTGTGCTGAGATAGCGGTTAAGACAGGTCGTAGTGGCGCACACCTGTAATCCCAGCACTTGGGAGGCTAAAAACAGGAGAATCACTATGAGTCCAATCTATGTGGTGAGACCCTGTAGACCCTGTACTAAATACATTAAAAATAAATAAAGTATATAATTTCTTTCTTACTCAGTTCAAGAAAAGACAATTATGACTTGGAGTTTCACTAAACACATTAAAAAACCAAGATGAGTCCAGTCATTTATTTTTGGACAACTTCATGATGAATCATGAAGGCAGCACAGAGAAAAAAGCTCCCTAGTATGCATGTGTAGGGTCACAGGGATCTTACTCTTTCATGGCTCTGAGGGGGCACACACTTCCCTGCTTATCGATGTACCACATCACCCTTTTTGGAGTGGGTGCTCAACATATTCAATGAAGGGGTAAATGACAATTTCCACAGCTGCCATCTGGACCAGTTGTGTCCCTTCCCTCTGGCTGTACAAGGAAATTGGAGAAGAACTTAGGGCCACCATGGGGCACAGTAAATGCCCCTCAT